ATGGCACCGCCGCCCCATTTCGGCACACCATTTACACGGTTCGTGGCCCCATAGGGAGCTCCACCGAAAGCGGTATCCACAACACGGTTCTCACAACTGCGTAATCATGGTTGTGCCTTTCGCCAGGGTAATTGACGGTCCCAAGGTGAGGGCCCCCAGAGGCCAAAAATAGCGAAAAGCCTGCCGTCGCGATTTTTGTCACCACGCAAGGGCGGTCTGGGTAGCGACATATATATATATACATATATATATACATATACATATACATATATATATATATATACATGCGTACATATACGTATACCTATATACATATACGTACTCAAAAGTCTATGTCTATGAATATATGTAGAACTGTTCATGTATATATAGATATGTATATATACATACACGTTAGGGGTGTAAAGTGATGCATACATATATATATATATGTATATATTATATATATATATCGCTGCCTTTTTCTCCTCTGAGTCGTGATCTTCGTCACGACCCGAGGGGGCCCGGGCGGCGGGGGAGGCTGGCTTCCGAGCGCGCGGCGCCGTCGCGGCGGCGGCACACGACGGGCGGGGCACGGCACGGGGCGGCGGCGCGGCGAGCCCACTCGGGCGTCCCGGACAGCAGCCGGGCGGTGGTGGCGGGGGCGCGCGGGGTGACCATCTCCTCGCTGCCTGCGCCCAGGGGGCGGGCGGCAGCAGGTTCGAGACGAGGAACAGGATCCGAACCCAGACCCCCTCGAGCAGCGAAAAAATCTCGACGGGAGGATTTCCGCCGTGTTCGGCCTCTGAGAGCCCTCACTGGGCCTCGGGACCGTCAAAAAACTACTCGGGATGAACAACCGGTGCCATGGAATGGGTCCGAACCCCTGGGGGTCGCGTCATGAAAAAATCATGACGTCGGAGGTCTGGGGAGGAGGTGCGGGCTGAGGAACACCATCCGAAACTTCTGGGTGTGCTGAGAGGATGTGGGGTATGATGCGCGGAATCTCAGGGACCGGTTCGTGTGCGTCCAGGCATCGCATTACAAAGACAGCCAGGGGGCCCAAGACTAGTAACAGTTTGAGCGGTTCACGTTCGCCGAAGCTTCGGTGGCAACTCCTAGAAGCCTCCCATACCATCTTTTCGGCTCGTGCGAATCGACGCGAAATCGACGCCGAATAATCGTTAAGCTGACGCTAACCGACGCTGAATCGGCGCTATCTCATCGACTCCCAGACGCTAATCGACGCGAGCCGACGCTGAAGACGGAGTTGAAAGGATACACACCAGGCTCCCACGATTTGCCACCGAACGATAATGGCAAGCGGCACTGACTGCCATGCCGTATGCTCCGCTGCCGCAGCAGCCGCGGGGGAATAATCATAACATCTTCCGCCGCGGGGAGCGCCGCGGGGAGCGCTGCACCCCGACAGGAGAGAGGATGGAGGGAGCGGCTTCCCTTATACATATCTATATATACATATATGGATATATGTGTAGATATAGATATATACATGTTTGGGCCTCTCTTCGGGCCTCTCTTCGGGGGCCCTCCTCGGGGCCCCGTGCGCCGCCGCCCAGCGGCCCTGGATGCGAGAGGCCAGCCCTGAGGAAGTGGTCGCGATCTCTGGGGGTCGACGTCGTGGTGAAGCACTTCATCGGGGCCCGGGTACCAATACCCTCCGGTCGTTGAAAGTAGGTACTTGTTTGGATTCCCAGATTCCAATATTTGTTAAAAGCGCCTTTCTATTTCAAGAGTCGAACGGTTGGCCCCCTTCCCTCCTCTTCAGGGGTCTGGCGGAAGCTCAGTCTACTTTCAAGGGGATTCTGGGCAATCGTGGGCCAGATGTCACGCCCCCAGTCCTGTGATGGGAGCAGGGCTCGAGCTGAGCAGTGCCCCTCGTCGGTGCGGTTTTTCGTGGTCCTGCGCTCCGTCTCCGTTCTGCCTCCGTCCTCTGCTCTTGCTGCGAAGCGAAACCAAAACGAAACAGGCCCACGAGATCGCCGGGGCACGGTCTGGTTCGAGCCATGACGTGGATGAGTAACGAACATAGGACCCCTAAGCCTTTGGGAAGGGACCTGAGTTAGGAGGGCCAAACACATTAGGGATTTTTTGTTATGCAGGTGTACCGAACCAGACCGTCCAGATGTTTTATCCCCAACCTCCGTGACGCCACGTCTCCATCATGTTTTCAGGGCTTCCCAACGGTCGGAAAAAGTAGGTAGAAACATGAAGTAGAAAGGCGTTGAACATAGATTGGGTTCCGTCCGCCCCCTAAGGAGGACGGAAAAGGTGAAGCCACTCGACCATTGAAGTAGGAATGCGCTTAAAGTAGATTGAAACCTCGAAAACCAAAAGTACCTACTTTCAACGACCGAAGGGTACGGGTTCTTTTGCTCTCTCGATGAAGTTAGAGGAACAAACGCCATAAACGTAAACTGTTTGGCGCTCCGAGCGGGTTTCTTGGATCCGCGCTGCCCCCCCCTCCCTGTTGCGCGGAGCGCGCGCCGGGGCGGCGCCGGAGGCGCCGCCAGGTGGGGCCCAGCGCGGATCCCGGAAATCCCCTCGGAGCGCCACAAAGTTTATGCTCATGGAGTTTTTCCTTCGTCGATGAAATGGAGGGCCGCGCGGTGCCCAAGCCCTGCGCCGAGCACCAGGGCACGCACGGGAGCGCGTCAAGCATATAGGGAACCGAACTCTATACACCGACGCTTTTTTTCCAGCCCTGCACTGAAATCTGCACAGAAAAACAGATCCTGGTGTATACGGGATCCTGGTGTATACCTGCTTCGTCGTTTCCCCGGGAAGAGGCGGAAACAAGTATACACCACGCCACCCCGACGTCGCGCTCTGGGCCCTCAAAAAGTCCCGGGAGTAAAGAACACCCCGCCACTGGTGATGTGTACGATGGGGGCATTAGATAAGAAGGAACCCAGGGTCTGGAGGCCGGTGGGACTTCAATCGAAGCTTGGCCATGGATATCGCCGCCGCCCTCACCAGATAAGGAACCATCCAGGGTCTGCAGCCGCCTGGGCGCATTCCTGAACCAGCACCCCCACCGTACGCTCCAGCCTCCGAGCATACGCGTGCGGAGGGGGCCCGCACGCGGGGCCGCGCCCGCTCCTCCGCAGGACACCCGCGCCCCTCGCCTCGGCAGGCGGCCTCCCCCGGCCCCCGACGTCGCGTCGTTGTGCTGGCGCCGAGGCAGCGCCGACGCAGCGCCGGCTGTGGCGCCGACTCGCCAGAGCCGACAGGACGGCACGGGAGGCTCCCAGGGGTTGCCGCCGAGGCTGGGGCGAACGTGGACCATTCAAAATTTGTTTAGTCGTGGGCCCCCTGGCTGTCTTTGGAATGCAGTGCCCGGACGCACACTAACCAGTCCCTGAGCATCCGCGCATAGTACCCCACATCCACGCAGCACAGCCACCGAGGCGGTGATCCAAGCGCCCAGCGAGGAGCCCGCCAGAATGGAATTGCGCGGGCGCGGGGGGGGGGTACAAGAGCCAGCATAACTACCCACTTGTCTCCTCACTCCTCTCCTCCTTCCCCTGTCTGTAGGGGCTGCGCCGACGACGCGCGGCAGGGACTTGCTGACGCGGCCCACTGCAAATCCCGGGCCAGTCGGGCTTTGCAGGACCCTCCGCGATCGCGCAAGACGAAAGATCCTGCAGGATCCTGCGCCCCACAGTCGGGGAGACGTAAGGCTCGGGTTCGGGGGACTGGGGTTGGCCTGACCGGGCCATCATGAGAAGGACGAGACCCAGTCTGAAATGTGACGTAAACTCCGGCTGCATGTATCGAAGGCAAACTGGACAATTTAAATCTAGAACGAGCTCGTCAAAAAAGCGTCGAGAAACCCGAGTCACGGTTTTCTCGAGTCTTACGTTTCCCCGATACAGTAGGAGCCCGACCACAAGAAACCTTCCTCAAGAAGCCCAACCCTGAGACACCAGGGAGTCCATGGATTTTGGGTGTAGGAATGTCACGCCTTCGGTCGCAAAACTATCGACACCCAAGAAACGCAGGGCACCCTGAAGGCAAGCAGGGTGTTTCTCGGCATGGGTCTCCGCTAAAACCCAAGTCAGTGCGCCCCCAGCTCTGCAGGATGATCCTGCAAGATCCGGCGCCCTGGCTGACCCCCATTTGCGGCGACCCCCGTCCCGAGGCCCCCGACCAGCCCAAACGGCCGAGCCGCTGGCGGGGAAGGGATGAGCAAGGTGCGAGGCGGGGATCGCTCCATTGACCGCCGCCGATGGGATCGGCCTTCCGGGACGCAGGCAGGCGGTCGATCTGGATGCGGCAGGCTGCACTGGCCGGTCTGGGGGGGGGCCCACCTGATGGTCCTGAGCGGCCCCTGTGCTTGCACGTGCTGTGGAAGTGACTCGGGACCCGACGAGCTTGCTCCGAATGGCTGCCAGGATCACGACAGATGCTCAAACTGTGCTCCCTCTGGCCCTGAGCATGTGTCCGCCAAGGGTTCGGGACGGTCCCCAGACGGCCCGGGGCGCCCAGAAGGCTTTCAGAGGACTGCCGCAAGAGGGCCTGCACGACCAGTCCCACCAATTTGTAGCACTGTCTTCCCATGCTCGCCTCCGTGTCCAGGGCGTCTCGGAGGGCACCCCGAGGGCAGGCCCAGGACGCTCCGCGCGCCGTGGGGGTCGGCGCAGCGCCGATCCACGGAATTCAGGCGAACCTTCGAACATGCGCGTGTGTTTGCTCACTAAAAAAAAGCTGTGTCTTCTTCGAGGTTTGGGGGCCTGGTTTTAGGTCGGGCGTGTCCCCTACAGGGTGATTTTGGGCGGAAAATGCAAAATATACTCAGGCAGTACCCCCCAAGTGCTTGAAAATAGTTTAGAAAAAAAACACAGTCTCCAGACTATGTTTTGACTATTTTTGAATATTCCCCCTGTAGGGGGGCAGGCCCGACTTCAGCCTGGCTGAGAAATCCGCGGTGGAGGCGCGGAGGCGGCCTCCGTCGACGGCCCCGACGGCGCCCGGGAGGTCGCCGTCGGTGGCCACGCTCAGCGCCACGCCGGGCTCGGTGCCCCGGCGCCTCGACGGGGCAGACGAGGCCGAGCCCCTCGTCGTCGTCGTCGCTGCCGTCGTCGCTCGCGCCTTTGTCGTCGAGGTTCTCGTGGTCGTGGTCGTGGTCGTCGCCTTCCTAGAGACGGGAGCACGGGCCCTTACATTCTAAACTACGCGGGACTTAAGGATATGCCAATCTTTGGATGGCGACCAGCCCTCCATAGCAGAGATTCAATAGTTCTTCTTATATCTGGTCTGCCCGTGCTCTGACGCCCCCAGACAATTATCCTGCAGCTTGCAATACGAGGAGGAGGAGGAGGAGGAGGAGGAGGAGGAGGAATAGGAGGAGGGGGAGGAGGAGGAGAAGGAGGAGCGAGGAGGAGGAGGAGGACAAAGATGAGGAGGAGGAGAAACGGACCTGCCGTCGTGATTTTTCCACGGCCCGAGGGTCCAGATCCTCGACCCTCGACTTCCAAGAGGAGGTGGTGACCCTCTGGTGGGCAAGGCGGCCCGAGCTGCTTCGACGTGCGACGTTTCGGATCGGGCCAGCAGCGGGTCGGATCGCGCCTGAGGTCGTCCCAGACGGAACAATCAGGATGTTTTTTTTGTTGTTGCTATGCTCGGCCTCCGGGGGCCCTCGCCGGGCCTCGGGACAGTCAAAAAGCGACTTGGGATGAAAAACAGGTCCAGGGGCATTGGTCTGGACCTTCTGGGGGTCACATCATAAAAACAAAACAAAACACGACACCGGGGGCCTGGGGTCGTGGGATCGGATCGCGGCCAGATCGCTGGGAACGGCATACAGTCGGGGCGCTGATCTGAGGAACCCAAGATATACGGAACGAGGCCACCTTTTTTGTTCGACTTCGATTTCCCGTTGACAACCTGAGGACAACCGAAGGCAAACTGTGAAACAACTGAAGAATACGGAGCCCCTTCCCAACGAAGAAGGTTCCTTCTTCAGCGCCCCGACTGTAGTATCGGGCTCCGCCTCTTGCGAGTCGTAGAGATATGCGGTTCGTGTTGCTTTGAGATCCGACGATGCAGAAAAATGGCAACGCGGCAAAACATCGCAACCAACGCTCCAAACCCCATTCTTCTGCGTCAATTCTCCAGCCAGATCGATCTGTGAGGGTCCCGGGGCCGGAAATGGAGTGAAAACGCCCGTTGTGGTAAAAACGCAACGCCAGAATCTCAAATGAGTTACGCGGTTCGCGCTGGATGGGACCGATACCAAGACACGGGGGGCGGACACCGGATCGAACCGGACCGCGAGCAGCCATGCTCGGTTGTGCATTCGGTCGGTCATGTCCCCCATACAAGCGGATTTGGTGACAAAAACAAGAAGAGTCGAAACAAATCAAAAATTGTTAAACTATACTGGAAACCTTGTTCCCAGACTTTTTTGCTACTATTTGGGAATATTCCTCCTGTAGAGGAACGCGCCCGACTTAAATCTGGCATGTAAAGGAAAAACGAGGTCAGCAGGAGGCGGAGGCAGCGTCGCAGGCGGAAGAGGCGGCGCCCGAGGACGAGCACAACGAGGAGGCGGAGGCAGGAAGGGGGAGGGGGGGAGGGGGAGGATGAGGAGGAGGAGGGGGAGGAGGATTACCAGGAATACCGCCTTGACAGATGTCAATACCAACTCCGCTCCCCTTAAATCTTGGAGAAAAGATCGCATGATATTCGGTCAAGATGCTCTCGACGACTCGGTGATGAGGGCTGGCCTACACAGCACACCCAACCCTCTCAGTTGGGATTGGCCGAAGTAGCCACACACAGCACAGTACCAAATGCAGAGAGACACGTGATAAGACAGAGAATGGGAGGGGTGAGCCCAACCACCAGCGATATGTACCAATCGTCCTCGGGGGAGCCTCAAAATCCTACCGCTCACATTTTCCAAGGACGCGCATATGCTCTCAAGCCAGGCCTTCACACTTGCATTCGACGCACTGCCCCTACACACCGTGCAGGACTTCCCGTCTTCCCCTAAGCTATGCGCAGTCGCGAAGCGTGCAACAGTATTAGGAGCGGGAGGAGGCGGAGGGGGAGGAGGCGGGGGAGGAACACCAGAGGGCAAACCCTCAGCGATTCTCACTCTCCGCGCCTCCTGCTTCTGCTGCGTCTCGAACTTGAGGGCCAGCAGGGCGGCCCGCAGCAGCCGTCGTCTAACATGTGCTGCATCGCGTTCCACTGCCAGTACTCGACCTCGATGCTGCTCTGGAATACGACACTTCCCAACCGCAGCTTCTGCCAATTTATCCGCAACTTCATTGCCCTGCACCAGCCAGCTCGCAATGCCTCGTCCGAGGTACTCCGTCGGTGAAAGATGCGAGGACACCTGCAACACCACCACGTCCGCCTTGTATCGGCCTTGGTTCTGGAGAAGGTCATGGATGATCCTCCAGACGTCAGCATTCTGGCCCGCAGGTCGTGAATACTTCGCTTGCCACCAGCCGCGGCAGACTTCGTCGTTGTCAGCCACGTAGACCAACACTCCCGTTGAATATTCGATGGCCGTAGACAAACATACGAGCTCACCCCTCGGCACCGTCTGCTTGGACTGCGATCCCCACAGGGGTCCTAACATGTACTGTCCCAAAGATACAAGTGAAAACAAATCAATGACAACCAACCCCAGTCCAACTCGTCGTAGACGGCCATCTCGTGACTCGGCACTTCCTGAGGCGCCGCCGAACACCAGCAGCGGTGCCGACCTTGCCCCTGAACCCAGACAACCGCTATGGAGGTGTCTCATGTTGCCTACCTCCCACTGCGGTGTCTGTGCGGGCTCTGGCACCTACGTCCATGCGGACGGGATGATTGTGCACAATCGTTCGTGGTTTCCCACTCGTATGCCGAGGATGGTAACCAACCCGCCTGCAATAAATAAGAAATCGTCGCCGAAATAGGACCTCTGGTATGCCGTGATCTCTGTGCCTCAGACATCTCCGACAAAAACTGCACTCTATCTTTCCACGCACGCTGGATGCCATGATGCAGACGAGGCTCCGACCTCCATACTTGTAACCATTGAGCAATAAACTGCCGTGGTAGTACCAGGCCTGGATCTAATACAGGCAATCGTAGTTCCAGGAGAGTCGTAGTGCACCGACCTCTCGTCGCCGAACTCGCAGCAGCTCCAAGTCTGCGTCGTTGCACCACCATGGACTCCCCAAAACAACCGTACACCTGGTGACCGTACTCCGCTGCGGCCTGAGGTCCAGCTCGATGCACCTTCGCCGTCGTCGCAGACCGACAAGCCGTCCGTGCAAACCGTCGAAGCTTCGCATGCTGAGGCTTCGACTTGGCGACTCGCTTCCTTGCCGTGTCCCGAGCCTGCCTACGACCTCCTCCGAGATCGACGCCCAGGTAGGCCGCCTGCAAAGCCCCCTGCACCACCATACCTTTGCGCCTCAGCTGCTGCATCACAGCCTTCGTATCAGCATTGCGCGAGCACGTGACTGTCGACTTTGGAGAACTCGCCAAGCCTTGGCTTCTCATATACTTCGCTGCACTACAAATACCTTTGACAAACATGATACGCACATGTCGTCGTGAGCCCACAGTACGCGCGGATAAGTCGTCAACCCACAAGCGCTCGGACAACAACGGATGAACTGTGCACAAACGATGGAGAACCCAGTAACGCATGCAGCGAGCAAATCTGGTTCCACTCCTCAAACCCTGTACTACCGAACGAGCCAGCTGGATTGGGAGAGAATGCGCTGAAACCTGAGCCACCATTCTCAAACTCAAACAGATCTGCAATTCCGGGAATACTATTGTCGGAGGAGATCGCAGTCGAAGGGCCCCACGCGCAAGATGCGGCCACTCTATGCGGTCTTGGAGAGCGTGAACATCCACGAGCGCATGCCCGTGCGGCACCCTCAGACGAACATGCAGTTCTTCTTCGAGCGCCCGAGCATGCGCTTCCCGAAGCGCACTGTTGTTGGCCACAGCCGCATCCCACACAGGCTCATCGTCCAGGGCCCATTGACGCACTTGACCTTCCCTCGCCGTGCTCCACAACCGACAAAACCTGGCAATCAAACCGATGACTCGGTCGCCTCCTGATTTCTTGCCCAAGAAGCGACCGATAACAGTGAGCACATGCCACGGCCATGACAATCCTTCTTCCACCAAGCGGTAGACCTCACACAACTCGACCAATGCACAGTCTGGGAGCCTCTCGAAGTCCAGCGGCGACATCTGCTCTATGCCGAGCCCCGCTCTGGGCTTCATAGCAGATGCTGCCCGTCGCAGATCCGCCACCGCAAGTGGCTCTAACTGCTCCACACGTGCATGCTCCCGAATCATATCACAAACTTCCATGACCCCTTGATGAAACAGCGACTCAGACCTCCAGAGGCCCCGAAACTTGGCCACCTTGTGGTCCACGATACCCACAGGGTGAACTAAAACTTCCGCTCCTCCATCCTTCTGAATAAGCAACTCACCAACCTGGGGTGGTGGATCTTTGATGCTACGATGCACGGCCCCGGTGGAGTCCACCGACGCAATCCACCCCTGAAAATCTCTGAGTGAGCTGGTGGCAGCTCGCGCATGCGCCCGCTTGGCCCCACGAAAGGCCCACGCCCCCAGCTGCTGGCGACGCTCGAGTGCTGCGTCTCGTAGCCCACGAAGCTCAGGGGCAACCGACGCCCAGGACCCTGCACAGGAAGACGCGGCAACAGAACACGAAATCGACCCTGGCGCTGTATCCAACAACCTGTCCAATGCTGAACATAGATGATCCACCTGCGCAGCTCCATTCTGGCGCGTCCTGTGTCGCAATACCTTCTGCACCATAGTGCGCAGGCTACTCCACCACGCCGCCGTCGAATCGGCCACGGGCTGCATGCGAACATGAGCTGCTTGCTTTGCTGGCGCCACACGGAGATCGAAGCCCCTCGCCCCAGGAGTACCCGAAGCCTCTTGACCGCGATGCGCTGCAATGGCATGCTCCACTGTACTCACCCACGTGGCATGCCTACTGCTAAAATGTAATATGAATTGCCGCCC